TCTGCCGTCTACAAACTTTTCACTCGAGTCATCCTAAGCAGGATTGATGGAACACTAGACGAAGGACAGCCATGTGAGCAAGCAGAGTTTCGAAAAGGATTTAAAACGATGGACCACGCCTAAATGATTAAAAGATTCACTGAAGTATCGCGAGAGTACGAAAGACCGCTTTGTCTTGCTTTCATCGATTTAAAAAAGCCATTTGATTCAAGTGAGATAGAAGCAGTCATGGAAGCCCTTGATAGTTAAGGAGTCTCTACTCAGTACATAAAGATTCTTCGTGAGCTGTACAAAAATTTCACAACCATGAAATCAGCATTCTACAACGATATTAACATCGACATCAAAAGAGGAGTTTGGCAAAGTGATACTATCTCGTCGAAATTTTTAGGAATGGCACAGAGCTATTTCTCATACCTTAAACGTCCAAAAAGCTTGTTTTTTGCAATAATATCTCTTTAGATGAATAACTGAGGCTTCATAAAGAAAAAAACGGAATTGTGTTTCACCTCTAGGGAAATAATTCTTTCCTAGTAACACCACAACAGGACTAAGACAAAGTGCTATTCTCCATAGACCAAGACAGAGTTCTTTTTTCCAGCTAGCGGGGAAAGCATTTGTCATTTGGAGTGTCATTGGTGATAATTTCATGACTACATGAGGATTGATTGTTGAATTCAATGAAAGTGGTCATGCACAGAAACGACGATGACGACGACGACTGGGCGGTTGGACGATTACCTGAAATTCGTTATCTTCTGGAAATCGATAGTTTTAACGACCCCCTGTTGATCAGACGCTTAGCAAGAACTAGTCGGAACGAGAGGAACATTTTTAAAAAGTGAGAACTAAAAACTCTCTAGAAGTGCGTTCAATGTAGTAATGAGGTGAACGATGAGGTCATTCGCCTCAGAAAAAGAACATCGGTGTCCAGAAGACCTCACCCTATTGGCTTATTTGCACTACGAACGTAAAACCACTAGGTTGGCGACGAAAAGGTTATCTAACGCACTTGTAGTTTTATGAAGGCTTACAAAAAATCGAAAATGAAGTTTTCCTGGTATCTCAATCTTAAGCGTTTTATTTCCTGCCTACTCTTCTTTAATGGTAGGGTATAACGCGAAGTATAACTTCAATGATGCTAAGATATTTACAAAACTCCGAACCGCAGATGTCTGCGGTGGGGAACGAACGCGTATTGTCCTTTCCAGGGAGAAACGCGTTCACCACCACACTATGCGGGTCCTTCGTCTCTCCTGTCTCCTAGGTAGTTCTTTGAGTTTTGCAAATATCTGAACATCATTGAAGTTATAATGTTATACCTTTTTATTTTCTGCCTACTATAATTTCGCGGCAGGGTACTAAGCGAAATACAATGTATTTCTATAGCTAGTTCTATACATCAGTGCCGTCAGCAATCACCCTTCAACAGGATTGAGCTGGAGAGCCCACAGCGGCATTGAACCCAGTTAAGCTGAGGACAATAGCGCGTTCGTTCCCCACCGCATACACCTGCGGTCCGGAGTTTTGCAAATATCTCAGCATCATTGAAGTTGTATTTCCTGATATCGTTTTTGCGATTTGAATACTTTTGCGTTAACATTCAATAGTTTTTAATGACTTTTTAAACAGCGGCGCAAATAGAGAAAGTTTGCAAAGCCGAATGATATCCAATGATTAACTGATCGTGACTAGGGGTGTTAAGGAGATGCTCAAAAGGAGTTCATCTGCACAGAAGGAGCATCCAAAAATTCGAAATTTGTCTCGAAGGACCTAGAAAAGTGTAGAAAGGGCCGTAATTCTAAAAATAGCCTACTGACTAGCTGGCAAATCTCCACAGCTTAAGTGCGGCTTGACACATTTGTTTCCGAACTTTACGTAAAGAACATATGCTTCATCAGAAACATATCAGCTGAATTGTTTCCTACTAAAAATTTTCCATGAAGACGGCTCACCCAAGTGTTAAAGCACTCACTTAACCATTTATGACTTCTAAACAGAGTTCATAACGTATACAAATGAAATTGTCTTCGTTCAAGCTCTTCGAGATGAAAATGTCAACATGGGAAATTAATCATAGCATCTAAAAAGACTTAAGGCATTGTTAACCATCTAAGAAACAAAATATCCTACTTACATCGCTTACAGAATAAAAGAATAAACGAAGAAAACTTTACTAATCGAATTAGTAATGGCTGAGGACAAAAATTGGAAATGAAAAAAGAAACGTGTGGTTAAAAGCTTTGAACTATGATGAACTTTGCTCAGTATTAGAGCTGGGTTCAGCCTGTCAGATGGACTTCATACTAGAAGATTTCAAAAAATGTTGCTTTTATTTGTTGAAGAAATTCGTCTACTAAATAAAACAACTTATTCTGATATGCTAATTGGAGGCCACTGAAGTTATTTGAGACGAGTAAATGATCCAAGCAATGCAATGATTTAGTGCCTCACCATAGTTGTAGAAGCTGACTTCAACATGGTCTATCCAGTTCAGAATGAGCATGACAACTTCACAAGGGACGCAACAAATATGACAATGTCACAAAGGACACCATTTAAAACCAAACCGATACCACAATTCACCAACGGCCTGAAAGGAACGTTGTTTCGTGGTGACAAATCATCCTTCATTCCGTGTAGTCGGCAACTGTTTGTAGTGACGTCTTCGGATAAGCCTAACATGACAATCTCGAGACTTTAGAGAATGAGAACCTACCCAATTAGTAAATTAGTAAGTCAGCTGGAAGAAATGCTGGAGGGCATAGAATTCTTCTTGTAGACAGACTATTCAAATATTCAACTGAGTAAGTAAATCACTACGAGACCAATGTGCCATACATAATCTTACAACCAACTACTGCCTAAATGTACCGTATTTTAAAATAATCTTTGACCCAAGAAACTTATATAAGTGTTGTTAGTAAGAAGTCCGGCAGGCGTGAAAACGGAGACGGTGGGGTTCACTTGTATAGAAGAGTGGTTTTTATTCATGGTAACGCCTCAAATCTTCCCCACTATTCTTCTACTCGAATAATGCAATGGAAGCGAGAGATTTTAGTTTTGTGAATAGCCGATTTACCGAAAGCTTAACATTCTGCGACTTTCTCACTGAGTGCGGAATAGTGGATTTGTTTCTTTCTATTGAAAAAAGACAACCAGAGGAACGGAGAGAATGTGAGAGTGAGCCTGAGAGTGAGAATGAACTTATAAGGGAAAGAGCCTCTACTAGCGATGAGATCGCTGTCGCGGCTGACATCTTGTGTGCCTGAAAAGAGCGTTTCGGATTCAACAACTTCATGAACATCATGTTGAACTTAGTGACTTAACGATGCAGTTCAGAACTTTACAGCTTCGACGAAATTAAAGATGCTTCCAGTAGTTTCTCAGTGTAACGGTAATATAATTACAGCCCAGTACATATAAGAAAGCAGCCCACTTAGATTACAAAAATCTTACTTTTCAATAAAAATAAGTACCATTTAGGCAAAACGTGATCAATAAGTATAATATAAAACGCTATTCTTCCTTAAAAAAAAGGCTTAAAAATTAAAGAAATTGGAAAAGAAAAACATTCCCGTTCCTTGCTTTTCAGCGCAGTTGTTGTCAAACGGTTTGCTTAAAGTGTTCTTTTGGTAATTTAACCTTGAAATTGCCATTTAAATTTTTTGCTGAAAGTTCTTTTTTGCTTCCATAGTTCCAGAATCACATCAAATATGGATACAATGTGCACGACTAGTGGAGTATTAGATATTCACGCCCAATTGTTAGCTGGCGATTTCCGCGAAGAGGGCCTGTTGTCGGAGTTTCAAGTGTCTTTTTAACCAGAAAGTTATCCATAGAGCAAATAACTACGTACGTTAATTTATGCACCCATTCCTTAGTTTCGTTAAAGTTAATGATTTACTGCCTCCCTCAGTCGGGCTGAAGGTGTTCAGGATCAAGCAGTAACAGCACAGACGTCGTTAGCAAAATAGTTTCTCAAGCCGCGGAGATATTCCAAAATTCCGCTCGTAAACCAGGAACTCCTCAAAGCTAAGTAAATGCTCTATATTTTTATTCAAAAAACGAGAGTGGAAACAAGTTACTGCTCGGAATCGCTAACGGTCCGCCGAAAGTCTAAAGTTGCAGATTTCTTTTTGGTTTATAAAGGCCTAGTATCTCGCTATACTGACGACTTGGGAAAACCTAAGGTCGACTAATGGGAGATTTCCAGCAAGGAATTCTTTCCCGAGCAGTAAATTGCTGTTCGTTTGCAAACTGTGCCGAAGGTTGAACGACGAAGACAAGGCATTAACCTTAACTCTTTTATTTACTGCCTTTTTCTTCTTAATGGCAGGGTATGTTTCGAATTATAACTCGTACGAAATGCTGAGATATTTGCAAAACAACGGACCACAGGTGTATGTGTATGCAGTGGAGACCCGGATGGTGTAGTGGTGAAGTGCGCTGCTCTCCGGTAAGGACAACAGCACGTGTTCGTTCCCCACTGCATACACCTGTGGTCCGGAGTTTTGCAAATATCTCAGCATTTCGTACAAGGCATTAAGTTGATGAAAAATTCAACTATGAATGCCAGCAGTTATTTTCACATGAAAAATATTGAAGGCTTATTAGTAGCGTATTTGTAAGAAATCGACTGGACACAATGAGTTTTCAAGGACGATCAATCCCTAAAAACGCACTATGCACTGTAATCCATTCGTAGGTGACTGAAAGGGTCACTGATTACTTTTAGGGGTTTACTCTTGCATCAAATCATTCTCATTCATTCAATCATTGTTTCTGTCCTCCCAGACAAATCGGATACCTATTTGGTGAACCAAGAAAGATGAAATGCTTTATTCCAGGTGTTAGGCCCAGATACCGATTCAGTGTGTATTGAAGGGCCCCTATAACCACTGCGCTGAAAAAATAGTTTTTGCGAGCAAAAAACTTTCTCTAGCAGCATTTGTTCATTATGGTAAGAAAAATCAGCCCGATATCCTTTTCAAGACGACCAGCATGTCATCTAATCTCATTTCAAGACGAAGAATTCCAACAAGTGCGTCTAATTCAGGCCAAGTGATGACAACAAGACGATCGTGTGGACTGCTTGCCTGCTTGACTCCCCATCCGTTTGAGTACCTGCTTGTCAAACAAGTCATGGGTGTTCAATGGAATCAAGGATAAACGATGAATAGAATCTGAAAAAAAGGAATGGCACGTCTGATAGTGCTTCAATTAAGAAATATGTGTATAGAAACGCATAGGCGAATTCGTAATTCATGTTTTCATAATTTCGTACGACGATACTCCGATGTTACAACTACGTACAGCGTAGAAAATCAGAGGTAGTTGATGGATTCCAACACTTGCATTGAAAATTGGAAATGTCGGAAAATCTCATCCAAAACAGATGTGCAAATCAATTGTAATATGAGAATTCGTGGTCTGAGAAGTTGATGTAAAAACTCATAGAACGTGAGAAAAATGAAAATTCTTCCCTAAAATTTACCAACAAATGATGAAGTAGGAATCTTTAAATCGAACTAAAACATTTAATTTTTATCGGACTAGAACAAATAGAGAAAAACTGCGTAGCATTGATGAAATTATGTTGCATTATGTCCTGAAAATGACAGCGATCTGCTGTTGAGCGCTGCCGCAGAATGAGGGTAATAAGCGACCACGCCCAGTCGACGTCAACCGACCGCCTCTATTCCTGTTGCTGCGTCTGTTGCTATTGCTGTTGCTGTTGCTGTCGCTGTTGATTCTTTGCTGGTGCTACTGCCATTGTTGTTGCTGAAGCCGTGCTGAAGTTGTGTTGTACTCTTGCATGACTGTGTACTAACGGGATGCCCAAGTTGGACGGAGGCCAGTCTGTTGTGATGGGCGAAATTCACAATCGATGTTTCCTAGAATATGCCGCTATAGAAACTGAATAAAAGAAGTGCCAATTAAAGAGAAGTAATTATTTTATAAAACCACTCATTAATATGTGTTCACGTGACGTTATCTAATGTGTCATAACAGCTGTCGAGGTAACTAGAATGAAGCCAGAAGTTATGTAGAGTGTGATAAAGCAAGAGTTCATGAAAAATGATCAAGCGCTTTGCGAAATCTTTTTTCTTCTTCTGCAAGCTGCTCATTAGTGCACCATTTTTGCTTTCTTTGCAGGATATTCCAGAAAGTCTCTTTCCAAATAACTGATAAGATACCAGATTGCGAAAAAAGCTTTAGAAGCACAAACATAACAAGAATCAAATTTGGGAAGGTCCTCTCTTAAGAGTATTTGTTTACTGGCAACATAGACGTCCTCCACCTCGACCACAGAATTGTGTCGGGCACACTATGTCGGCTTCCACTACTATCTTCCGATTGTAGACGTCGATTTTTTGACGTTGGGATCTCAAAGAGATCGAGACCGACGTCTCCTGTGATGAATACGAGCAGTGGATCCATCTAGAAGAACATTTAAGAGCGTATGTGTCACCACTCCAGTCACTGTTGTTCATCACATAGAACGGCAAGTGTTTTGGCCGTCGCATAGAGAAAAGGACGAATCTGAATGCATACATTTCCATGGCTTTCCTTTCTTGTTAGTAAGATTGCTCTGAGATAACACCGGTACGATGAACGATATCTATACAGGGCAGGTTCACCGGTTGTCTGCTGCAGTGAGAGAATGGCAAAATGAGCCCATGTCAGCTTAAATGATTTAGTCAGCTGTATATTTTAGCCCAAACATGGTTCTTTTTTGAATAACAACTGATCAGCATTCCCGTTGTGCAAAAGAGCATGTCAAAGTGAAGTTTTTTATTCGAGCGGTGTTCTACTCCAATAGATGCGACAAGAAACACACATTTCGCGATGGTGACCCACTCTGGACCATCGCCACCACCTCGGATTAACGCAGCTTTGAAGAAGGAGAAGGCACGGAAAAGTAGGCTGAATAAAATTTTTTGTAACAACCTTGTGTTACCATAATTATTAAAGAAAGTAAACGTAATTCGTTTCCATTGAATATAGGCAAAATCTCCTCAACCTTCGCTCAGAATTTCCTTTCATAAAAAAAGCAAACACTAATCCTTGAACTAGTTCCCAGGATCGACTTTCTCTTAACCTCGGCATTGGAATATGAATGTGTCGTTTTCTTGTTCAGCAATCGCGAGGTTTTTAAACAGCATACATTTACTTCCATAAAAAAACACAATACAATACAACGCTAGCTGACGTTTCGGCAGTATCGCCTTCTTCCTTGATCCTAATCCTAATCCTAATCCTTGAATCCTTGATGAAGTAATTATAATGCAGTAATGATTTCTAAAATATAGAAGATTCTGGAAGAATTTCATAGGCATTCTGAATCACAGTAAACGCATTGGGTAAAAATATTCACCAAAAAAGACTGCAATGGTGCTTCTACCCTAGAAATAAGCCATGGTCTAAGCAGCACTGCCATACTAGTCTTAGTTCGGTCACTTGTCAACTAATTGGTTGTTAAAAAGCAACTGGAATAAACTGAAAATTTTTGTTATTCAACTCAGATTTTTTATAAAACAAAAAATTAGAAATTCATAGGTGAACAGTTGTAAAGATCAGTCACTGATTGCCAAGGAATAAGCAGAGCATCTTTGTGTATCAAGCCTAGTCGAAACTTAATATACGTGTTTAACATTAATCACAAAGAAAAAACACAATGTGTACTTAATACTCCAAGCCTTCAAGATAGTTGGAAGTCGTATTTGAAATCTCAAGTGCTCTTTTGATGAATGAACCAACAAAGGCTTCTTATCTAATCGCACTTTAAACTTGCGACAAAAACAAAAATACTTGAGGCGAAGATGTAACACAATTAAAGTGTAGATGATTATATCGGAAGATGTGTGTGTCCCGTGTAAATATAATTACGCAAGCCTTATAACATAAAACAAAACGTTGCACCAGATAACAACTTATTCAATTTGTTAGCAACTGGAATAGCTCAACAGCGCTGCCGAGTTAACCGTGGTATAATGTCCTTCTTTAATGGCTAGTTCTCCTTAATGATATATCACACAATACTAGAATTAAATATCTAAAAGACACAAATTACCTCTTATAATTGCACATCTTGTCGTTCACTGGTCAGACAAAACGCGCACATCACCAATCATGGTACGCCAATCGGAAAATAGAAAGAGACCTATATTAGGCTATTCTGGTGTTCTTTACAGAAGTAGTGCATATTGATTGAAGTTATTAATAGCGGTTATCTAATTATTAACAAAAATGAGTAGCTCACTAAACGGATATGGATGGAATTGGCTGTGGTATATATGTTATAGTTGAATTGCCCCTTTTGGATTAACCATCGCCGCTGCCGACGCTGCAGCTGCCGCTAGTCATAACAATATGGTTGTCCTTAAAAAAGAGCCCCTAATGAATATATTCATCAAAAATGCTGTGGTTATTAACTTATTTACTAGTGAAAGTGGACTCTAAAGTTAATGTCCTAGCTTTTATTTACTCTTTCTGTCTCTTTTTTTCATGCGAGGCGCTATACGAATTGTAACCACAAGGATGCTGAGAAATGGGCAAAATTCGGAAACTTAGCTGCGAATCGAACCAACGATTACCTCATTGGAGCACCGCGTTCTACTCACTACACCAACCGAGGCCCTTGCTTTACCTTTCTCTCTGCTATTTGTTTACCCTAATGGTATTACCAGTAATCAGCAGGCAGCAAGAATGGTTTGAGGAGCACAAGTCGGCATTGAACGCAGTTACGCTGAGGCTATAGTTGAAATCACATATATCTATGACTTTTATCTATTGTCTATTTTTTGAAGGACCAAGTTAAGCTAATGCCGATATGTGCTTCCCAGATCATTCCCGTTGACGGATGAATGCTGATAGCATATATAGTGTGAAACACAACTGAGAGAAAAGGAATCCAAGGACTTCGGTTGGTGTGGACGATAGAACAAGAACTCCCACGACCGACTTTCTATTAACCTCGGCATTGATCAAGTAATTCTTCGTCTTTTTGTTGAGCAAAAAAAAAAGACTGTTGACTCCGCAAAAAAGTAGGTGCGAACAACACCAAGTGTGGGCCCTACCGATAGCACCATTTCCCCCGACGTTCTTTAGACAACAAGAGCCCAATAATGAAGTTGATGTTAATTTTCGGATGTTTGCGAATGAAACTCTCAAAGTCCTTAATCACTATCGCGCGAAAAGATACAGCTCCAACCTCACTCCAGTGCAAAAACGTGGTGTGCGAGAGGTACGAGACCTGATAAGGTTGAAAACCATAAGACTTTCCGATAGTGATAAGGGTGGAGAGTTTGTCGTAATTCCTCATCAGTTAGATGTGGAGATAACGAAAAAGCTTCTTGAAGATGCTTTGCTTTACCGCCCATCATCTGAAGAGGAATTCAAAAGTAAATACCGAGAATTAAACCACGAATGGGCCAAAATGGCAAGGGCTGCTGGTTTGAAACCATCAGTTATCTCTCAACTTAAAGTTGCCTTACCAACATGCCCCGTCTTGTACTTACTTATAAAAACTCATAAGTTAATATCCAGCGATGATCTTGCGTCTACCGATCCATCACTATTTAAGGTTAGACCTATCATTAGCTGTGTAGACGGGCCAACGGACAGGATAACATGGGTTTTAACCCTAATATTTAACCAGTTGTTGAAACACATTCCAGCCCATCTTACGAATACCCAGATGTTTCTGGATCGTCTACGTACCGCGCAGCCCAACAGCGCGTGCGTAATGGAGTCCTTCGACGTTACCGCCCTTTATACAAATGTGTCGAATGACTCCGCAATGCAAGCCATACTTGAACTCCTTATGCAACACGAAGGAGAAATAAATATGCATGGCTTCAAGATAGAGCAGTTGATGGCACTCTTAAAAGAATGCTTGAGCTGCTCAATCTTTACATGCTCTGAAAAGTACTACGCTCAAATAAGGAGGTTGGCAATGGGACAACGACTGGCTCCAAGCCTTGCCATTGCATTTATGTCTAAGGTGGAAGCACCGGTGACTGATCTCGGGCCGCTACTCTACTGTAGGTATGTGGACGACTGCTTTGTCCTTTGCTCAACACAAGAAGAAATGGACAAATGTTTCGAGTTGTTAAATGAACAATCAGAGTATATCAAGTTC